GTGTGTGTGCGTGTGTGTGTGTGTGTGTGTGTGTGTGTGTGTGTTAGAGGATTAGAGGCCAGATGCATGAATTCATACATGGGAGGTTGGCCGGCCTGCCTACTGGTCGAAATCCTGGTCAAGGGCACAATTTGCATATTAGCCTTTTATTCTATAGGATATATACTGAGTGGCCAGATGATTATGTGTTCAGAAGTCATAATAACTTGGCCACTCAGAGTATATGCCTTATTACATCACCATATCGCACCCCACACCAAGTAAAGAGGGCCAGGGATCTGGGTCCCATTCGTGCTGTGGACTGGTTTGAGATTTAGCCTTGGCTACTTTGCCCTCCACTGTGTGAAAATACATGCACATCACTGAGTCAAAATGAGTCCAAAGAAAATCTTCACAACGATGACATTCAGAGCCTGGTAATCTGAAAGATAAGGACTGGTTTGTACGTAGTCACTACACATTGAGCCTGTGAATGTGGTCTTGTGCATTAGATGCACCGCTCTCACTTCTGAAACTATTGCAGTGTCTTCTGGGTAGGCACCTTGGCATCCAGGGGCAGGGCTGACCTGAAGGCTTTCCTAGGCTCGGGAACAGACTGGGTGGCTGCTTCTAACCTGGAGAGCTATGCAAAGGAGTTTGTGTGGCAACAACTTGCAAATCTTTGAGTCCCAGTTGAATTCCCTGAGTTTTCTCTGAGTTTGAGAGTCAAATACATTCCCAGGCCCCACCTGGGTGGGTCTAGTCCCGCCTTGTCAGGTCAGTGGAAGCGTCTGCTCCTTCACTTGGCCTACCTCACTGGAATATGAGCCCAGCACCCAGGTATCCAGGCCCGTGTGTGGGCTGCTCTGAGGTTAGGCAAACAGTGGAATTGGATTAAACAAACTCGCAGAGTTGGGATACCACCACTAAGTGTCGTTTGGCTTTGTCACAATTTCTTTTTCTTAAAACGGGGCTCATTTTGTTTCAATAAAGTAGACCGGTACTTAGCAATTTGCAAAACATGTTTGATACGTAAACAGATTGTTGACCCCATTTCCTTGAGGTTTAGCCTCTGCCCCATCTGATTGCTGTCTTTGCTGTGGAAGAAGAAGCAAAGGCACAGGGTGAGCTGCGAGCTCGGGCGCTGGGCCTGGCCTTCCCTCTCAGAGCTCCTGCTTCACTTCTCCCTTCCTCAGAGCGGCCTCTCCGAGGGGGTTCGGTGCCAGTTCTGGACTCGCCAGTGGCATGACCGCAACCAGCAGATTGCCACCACGTCAAAGAAATGCAAACTAAGAAGAGAAATGGAGAAGCATGGGGGGTAGGCATCACTTGGGCTAGGGATTTTCTGGGGGTGGGGTCAGTGAGAAAGTGTAGCCAATGGGGTCCAATCAGGGAAGAGAAACCACAAGTAGACTAAACAGCATATGTGAACACTAATGAACAAAATAAACTAACAAACAAAATAGAAGGAGACTCATAGAGACAGGCAGCAGCTGACACTGCTAGAAGGGAGGGGTGGGGAGCTAGTGAGAAAGGTGAAGGGATTAAGGAAAAAACAAAAAACAAAAATCTCAGAGACACAGACAACAGCTTGGTGGTTACTAGAGAGAGAGGTGAGGGGAGGTAGGAGAGGGTAAAAGGGGATAAATGGTGATGGAAGGAAACTTGACTTTGGATGGTAAACACACAGTACAATATGCAACATATTGTAGAACTGTACACCTGAAACCTACATAATTTTATTAACCAACCAGTGGCCCAGTGCATGAAATTTGTGCACTGAGTGGGTTCCCTCAGCCCACCTTGCCCCCTCTCACAGTCAGGGAGCCCTCAGAGGATGTCCTAATGATGGCTTAGGCCCACTGCCTGCTGCCACTGCTGGCTGCTGCAGCTGCCAAGGTGTTTTCATAAACACAGACTCCAGTCCCTTCACCACAAAAAAAAAAAAAAAAAAAAAAAAAATGACAACTTTCTTTAGGCATTTTCAAGATGTATCTTTCATAAAACATAACCTTTCTTTCTTTCTTCTTCCTTCCTTCCTTCCTTCCTTCCTTCCTTCCTTCCTTCCTTCCTTTCTTCTTTCTTTCTTTCTTTCTTTCTTTCTTTCTTTCTTTCTTTCTTTCTTTTTTCTTCCTTTCTCTTTCTTTTATCCTCACCTGAGGATATGTTTTCATTGATTTTAGAGAATGTGGAAGAGAAAGGGAAAGACAGAGAGCAACATCAAAGTGAGAGGAACACTTTGATTGGTTGCCTCCTGCATGAGCCCTGACCTGGGCCCCGGCCAGGGAGGAGCCTGCAGCCTCGGAACAAGCCCTCGATCAGAATTGAACCCAGATTCTATCCACCGAGCCAAACCGGCTGGGGCACGATATGACATTTCTTATCCCTCCAGCAGCGGACCTTTGATTTTTCCTCCAGGAGAGAGGTGGAAAAACACTAGATCACCTTCTTGGATTCTTATTAGGCAAGTTACCAAGAACGCTGCAAGTGGCCTACAGGGAGCTTAGCCAATGAGCGGCCAGAAAGGGAGTCCCCTCTGCAGCTCATGTGCAGAGGCAGGACTGCTGGTGAGGGCCTGCCCTCGGCCACCGACAGGCTCTCTTCCGCTCTCTCTTTTCCCTCTCCCTCTCCCTCCGGTCCACTAGCTCTGAAAAGCAGTGAAAAAATATCCTCTGGTGAGTATTAAACACAAAACACGGAATAATAGGCCTCCTCCTTGGAGATGCTGAATATGTAGGCCTGAAAGAGAATTCGTGGCTCTGTGAAGATCCCTACATGAATTTTATTAACAATGTTTGGAAAAATAGCCTAAGCTACACCAATGATTCAAGCTTGTGCTTTTCTGTGTTCCAGGGAAGAATCAAATGATCCTTTGTTTTATTGTGTCAAAACAAAAATTTGCATGTGTTAAATACATAATTCTTACTCAAATACATACTAGCAGATGCAAAGGTTCTGTTTAACTCAGTGAAGGGACAGGCAGGATGATAATGCTGTTCAAATGAGATTGCCAAAGGTGAAAGCTTGAAATAAAACTGCTAAACTAGATATAATCTGGGTAATGTCCTATAGGACAATAAAACCATTACTTTTTGAATTGGTGTATCTTCTAGACAGAAATTAGTTATATCTTTAAAATCCTAAAAATTATTTTCATCTTCTCACTTTGCTAATCAGGCCTGTAAAATGTCAAAATACGTATATGGAACTTACTTAATTGTAAATAGTGTGTCAGACTTGTGTGTTTCATAGAAAAGGAAATGATCATTCTGTGGGCCTCTGATGCCCCAGTTATTCTGAAAGGACTTGCTGACAATGTTTTACTCTGGGCCTACTATGGGCCAGTCCTTGCCTCTCAGGGCCTGAGAGGCTGTGGGCCAGCCCCCCCCCCCTCCCCCCGTCCCTGTCTGAATCCACTCAGAGGCTCACCTGCGCACACAACCTTCTTCGTGACCCTTTATGGTGTGCTTGCCTAATTTGCATATATATATGCAAATTAGGCCAGCACACCATAAAGGGTGATATAGGCAGGCGTTAACTGTGATTCTTTCAGTTCGTGAGGAACCCATGTATCGAGTTTTTGAACATAGCCAAGTTGTTTTAAGTGATTTTCAATGCATGTATGTGATACATGAAGCTTCTCTGCAATCTCACGTGCTGTACTGTGACAGTCCGAATTGATTATTGCTTTGATTAGGGCGTCATCAACTTCAACTGGACGACCAGAGCGTTTTTCATCTTTGAGTGAAAAATCACCAGAACGAAATTTGGCAAACCAATTTTGACACTGCCGTTCTTTTAAGGCTTCGTCACCATAAACAGCACATAACTTTTTATGAGCTTGCGATGCGTTTTTCCCTTTGCGGAAATAAAAAAGCAAAATATGACGAAAATGTTCCTTTTGATTTTCCATTTTTCAACGAATGCCAAACGAAAACTACAAAACAGATCAAAAAACTTTTTTTACTGATTAACAGCTGAATAGCCAACTATCAAATAACAAAATGTGTTTTACATTTGTACTACGTCTGCAAACCTAAAAATTCAACTGAAGCCATATATGTGTGAAACCCGCAATTACTTAGTTGCCGACCCAATAATTAATTTATATATATATATATATATAGAGAGAGAGAGAGATCTCACCCCAATAAATTTTAATGAAAATTTAAAAAGTACATTAAATGAAAACCTATAAGATATAAGGGACTCCATATGGTAGCCTCGGGCTGAGAGATGGCTGCAAAGAAGGACAGAATTAGAAGGGGCTTCAGTCTCGCTGGACAAGGCATGGATGGGGCACTGGCCCAGAGAAGCTGCGGGTTAGCCGGGCTGCAGCTGGTGCGGAGTTGCTGAGCCCACATGTAGCACCCTCCAGGGCGGACAGGAGCAGTCAGCGGAGCACCTACCTGCAAGGGATCCTGCTTTCAGGAGGAGAAGGCAGGCAGGCAGAGAAGGGCTGCTCAAGGGTACCCTGGCTGCACAGGCCTGCTGGGTTTTCCCCAGGGGTCACCAGGCAAACCATGTGAAGTTGCGGAGGGACCACTTCCAGGGCCCGTGGCTCCGGCAGGATCCACACGAAGTCCTCCTTCCCGCACGCTGACCTCCCAGGCTGGGACGAAGTTGCGGGAAGCCCCTTCCTGCTCCAGGTCCCTCTGCTGAGAGAGCTCCGCATAGTGCTCACGTGAAAGAAGAAATCTTATAGGATTTCATTGTTGGCTATAGAGCCCGCACTGAGGGGAGCTGAGAGGACATAAACTGGTGGTGACAGAAAACTGAGCAAGAATTAGCACATAGAAGGTGCTCAGTAATTGAAAGCTGAGAATATGATAGCTATTCAGGAAAGCTGGATAAATTTAAATTAGTTGGAATACATTTAAAATTAAGCAGCTGTGTTCATCTTAATTGTCATGTCATTTGTTGTTGTGAATTATCTAACTAGACACAAAGTTAAGAATCTGTGTGTGAAATAATGCTCATCTCTAATTCATGTCTCTTTTCTCGATTTTCTGTTTGCCCAGGTCTTATACAATATACTAATCGCCTTCACAAAGATGCACAAGTTCGAAAGCATCGAGCCTGTGGACGTTTTGGCCGGATGTGCCCGGTTCATTATCGTGGGGGTCGGGGGAGTCTTTTTCGGCATTATTTTTGGATTTGTTTCTGCGTTTATCACACGTTTCACTCAGAACATCTCTGCAATTGAACCGCTCATAGTCTTCATGTTCAGCTATTTGTCTTACTTATCTGCTGAGACCCTCTACCTCTCGGGCATCCTGGCGTGAGTACAACCTAAGGATTATCTCTCGTAGCAAAAAAAAAGAGCATTCTGGCCCACGTCCTGCGGACCAGCCTCTGGTGAAGCTGGGCTGCAATGCTGATTCTCAGAGGGGTGGCGGGATTCGGGTTTATCAGGCACATGTGAAATCTGATGCAGGTCCTTTGCCAAACACTCTAGCATTTGTGTGTGCTCTCTTCTCCTGATTGCCTGAGGAGAGCACAGCAAGTACAAGGTCACTTAAAAATCATCAGAAAAGCTGCTGCTGACAAAATCTGGGAAACAGTACATTTTTTTCTTTGAAAAATTCACTCTTTGAGTTAGGGGAAGCATGCCCTGTGGGACTGTCTTCTGCTGTGGGCTCTGCCTTCTGCATTTCTTCAAACCACATTGCAGCTCCAGGACCTTCAGGGCAGAGTGAAACCAGGCAGATGGGATAAGACTGGAAATCCAGGTCTCTTTTTTCTTAATGAAAAACATCATGTAAACATTTATTCTTGTGTCGGTCGTGGAATGAGGCTTTTCACCATGGCCCTTACACCTGGTCATGTTGTTTTCTCTCAGACGTTATTCTCATACTAGTGGAGCAGGGGAAGAGAGGGGTTTCCTCTGCCTAGCCTGCAACCTCTCCAATTGGGAACCTCTTGGGTGATGTCCAACCACAATCTAGAATCACTGGCTCTTAACCATTCATCAGCCTGCTTGCCTGATCGCCCCTAACTTTCTCTGCCTGCCTACTTTATCGCCCTAACTTCCCTTCCTTGCCGACCTGATCTCACCCCCAAATGCCCTCCCCTGATGGCCTGATCGCCCCTAATGACCTCTGCCTTGGCCCCGCCACCATGGCTTTGTCTGAAAGGAAGTTGAACATCCAGAAGATGGCTGGTTGACAGGTCTAATTAACATATTACTTTTTTATTAGTACAGATGAAGCTAGTTGGACTGCAATAGTTAATTTTATTGTACAAAGATAACTACTTTAATTAAATATAACAGTGTAAAAGCTAGGAACTCCTATTTCTCACCTTAAAAATGATCAGAACTACTAAGACAAGGCAAAGTTCTCTTCACCCACACCCTTCCTAAGTGGATCTAAACCAGAAATATTTTGAATGAAAAAATTCTTATTAAATTATTGGAAGAAATGCTGCTCAGGAGGGAGACACTGAGGCACCGTGTTGAATGATTCCTCCTAGGGAATCACCATGGATATTTGGGTTAAAAAGGCGGAGTGGAGAGACAGTGAGGGGATCGGCAGAACTCCTGGGTGGGAGGGCAAGATAGAAAGAGCTGGGCTTCCAGTGTGGCATGAACTCCTGCCATCGTGCTGTGGGAAGGCCAGCGTGCCCTCCTCCCACCACATCCAAGTCCTGCAAACCCCTGGGGAGGATGAAGAGGCAGAAAGAGAATCCGTGGAAAGGCTGCAGCCAGAGAGGGGAGGGGATGTTTTCTCGAGATAAATGCAGGAGTTGTGTGTCTGTGGCATCAGCAATACGGTGGGTTTGTGGAGAGGGGCAAGCCCTCTGCTTCCTCCTGAGACTCGGCTCCTCCTGCAGCATCACGGCCTGTGCAGTGACAATGAAAAAGTACGTGGAGGAGAACGTGTCCCAGACGTCCTACACGACCATCAAGTACTTCATGAAGATGCTGAGCAGTGTCAGCGAGACCCTGATCTTCATCTTCATGGGCGTGTCCACCGTGGGGAAGAACCACGAGTGGAACTGGGCCTTCGTGGGCTTCACGCTGGCCTTCTGCCTGCTCTGGAGAGCCATCAGTAAGTAAGGGGCCGCGGCCAGGAGCCCGCCTGCTGCTTTCAGTGTCCCTTATCCCTTCCTGAGTGCCCTAGCACAGTGAGGTGATGCCAACTGGTTCTACTGGTTCGGGGAGTACGGGCACCTTGTGGCCTGGAATGCTGTTTACTCCTTCACTGGGTTCAGAGTCCTTAGTGACTGACAAGGCTCTGCCTGGAGCAAGGAGCATTATTAGTTAGTTGGAGGGAGACCGTCCACAGCTCACATTAATATAGCAGCGCCTTCTCCCTGCTCTGCTTTGCCCGCTTGCACCTGAGTCAGATATAGACTGAGCTGTGAACTGAGGGCATTTGCGCTTTTGTCCCAGGAAAAGTGAGATGTCACATGTTGTGGCCTGTGTAAGGCAAGCACTGTTAGAAATGTTTTCCTAAATAACACCGGTGCTGTCAGCTGAGGGTGAGTCTGATGCACAGAAATCAAGGGCCGGGAATGAATCTTTACTTATAAGAAGTGCTTGGTGTTAAGTAATAAAGACAACTCTCTACATGATGTAATTAGAACCCCCTCTATAAAATATGCCTAACTTAAAAAGTGAGATGTTTTGACGAATGGCTCCTGGTTTATTTTGTTTTATGTTTCTGGAGCTAGAAAAACATTAAGTGCTGAACTATAATGTAAGTGTTGACTTTTGACTAGAAGCAATTATATTTTAAAGTGATTTGACCAATATTTAAAGCATTTAAAAATATATTTTTATCAATATTGTCAAGCTGATACTCAAAGAGAAATTAGGAGAAATGGTAGAGAACTTATTAAGCATTAAATTAATTTAGGATAGGTTTCAGGATCTTGAAAAATAATAAGAATGAAGAAATATTAAAATATTCATAAAACTTACTCTGAATATGTGTGCCTCAAGAGGAAAAATTTAAGGAAACTTTGATAGAAATGTATAATCCCACATCAAGTCCTGGCACTATTACTAAACTGCTATTCAACTTTGGACAGATATTTAACTACTCCAAATATTCCTCCTCAGCCACAAACTGTGTGTGTGGACAGCTTTCTGAGCCCCTGTCAGCAAACGCTGTAGGAGTGCAGCGTTAGGAAAGCGAACAGGAGAGAAGTGACATGACTGAGCTCTGGTCCAGGCAGCAATACAAACCACCTAGGGGTGGACACTGGGCCCCTTCAACACCACTGACCTTGGCAACCGCCCAGCCGACTCCCATCCTCTGACAGTGAGAACAGAGCCAGGTCAGATGCTGCTCTCCCACCCCAGCCTGCTCATTGCAGCTCACACTGGTTCACACTCAAGGAGGCACATAACACATAGGCCCTGCTCTGTAATTACTTACAGCTATGAAATTAACTTCAACCCACATCCCCCTTCTGCAGAATATGATCAGTACCTTCCTTAAGCAGGTGCGACATCGAGGACATGACACAATTAAGAGCCTTGCCCGAGGTCTCATGATCCATAAGCATGCGGAGGAGCCAGGACAAACAACAGGAAATGAACAGAGGGAATGTGACTGTCTTGAGCTACCAGTGTGCCTGTAATCAAAGGCTGGGTGCCATGAAGTCTGGTGATTAGAAGTCACATGACGATGCTGAGCGCTGGAGTGTTAGTGCAGGGACCTCTCGCACCAGGAACTACTGCACTGACGGCAGTAGGTCACATGGGTAGCCTGCTGGAGATGGAAAATCAATGTGGTAGAAAGGACCTCTGTTTTAAATACGCTCTCCTGCCCTTCACCCTCACTTACAGCAAGAACCCTTCTCTTGAATTCTTGCCAGCATCCTTTTTGTTTGCATAGAATCTCGAGAAGAACCAAACCAACCACAAAAGATGTGCTCATCCTGTAGAGACCACAGTCACAAAGAAGGAGACTCCTTTTACACTGAAAATTACACACCTCCTTTGGTTACTCAGTGAGAACATGAATGATAGAAATGTTTTATTCCCCAGACAATGCTTTGGTTTTACCTTGTTTTGAAAGACAAAGCAAAACCATGAGCATAAATTAGAATGTCTAGGTCACATCTCATATCAGAAAGTATCAAAATGTATGACAGTAACTGCACACACTCAGAGGACTCGAGGAAGCTCCTGACCGGAGCACTGCTGTGCGGACGGGCGTCACGGGTGAAGGAATGAGGCGCCAGCTCTGAGGGCCTGCGCAGGACGTGGTTCTCTCATTGCACCTCCAGGCGCTCACGACCCTGTCAACACCCCCCTCTGCAGGCGTGTTTGCTCTCTTCTACATCAGTAACCGCTTCCGGACCTTCCCCTTCTCCGCCAAGGACCAGTGCATCATCTTCTACAGCGGCGTCCGCGGAGCGGGCAGCTTCTCACTGGCATTTCTGCTGCCCCTGTCTCTTTTTCCTCGGAAGAACATGTTCGTCACTGCTACTTTAGTGGTTATATACTTCACTGTATTTATTCAGGTTGGTAAGTTTTATTCCTATTTGAAACAAGTAGATTCTTTCAGGATTATGCATTAAATTACTATAATACCAAAAAGTACACTTTATTTGATTCTCAGACATGATTTTCTATCTCTATATTGTGTTTATTATTTTTAGAAATTAGATAATATATCCAAACTAAATTCCCACATATTTATAAATCATGTTTGTGCTATCCTTCAACCTCTAAAATATGTTGGTTTTTAACCAGTAAAATATTCATCCAAATATTCCTGGGTAACAGGTGAATTATAGCTACTCTCTGGTGTGTTGCTTAAAATTATATTCCAATTAATACTCAAAAGCACAAATTTTTATTTTAGCTCAAGCTACTTTTCAGCAAACTAGTAAGAGGTTATTTTAAGGGAGGAAACTAAACTCCTGCTTTAAAAATAGTGACATAATGCCTATTTTATTACATAATTTAAAAGAATTAAATAATAACCAAAGAGTGAAGCATTTAGCCAATAGAAGCTAATAAAAAACAAAGACATAAAAATTGGGAGTTTTAGAAGCTGCATTAATAGATTTGTTCTCTATTATGACAATCTTCACTATAACAAAACCCTTTATTTTCTTACTATGCTCTAGGGAATCACAATTGGCCCTCTGGTCAGATATCTGGATGTTAAAAAAACCAATAAAAAAGAATCCATCAATGAAGAGCTTCACATCCGTGTAAGTTAATTCTGTCGAAATTAGTAAGTTAGTGAAATGCGTTCCACTTGCCGCCTCTGAGAGTAACCTAGGGCTTTGATGAAACATGTGTGTATTCCCCAGACATAGCTTCTTTCCTCTCAGCTCTACCAAGAGTGACATACTAACTCCCTATCACTGTTGTGAGAAGTCACTACACACTCAGTGGTTTAAAAAAGCACAGTAATTATCTTATATTTCCAGAAGTCAGAAATTCAAAATGGCTCTCAGTGGGCTAAAATCAAGGTGTTTTGGGGCTGCATTCCTTTCTGGAGGTTTTAGGGAAGAACTTATTTCCTTGCCTCGTCCAGCTTCTAGAAGCTGCTGGCATTCGTTGGCTTCCTGGACCCCTTCCTCTTCACAGCGAGTGGTGGCCGGGCCGGTCTTTCTCATGCTGTGTCCCTCCAACACTGACTCTGCTGCCTTCCCTTTCATATTAGAGACTTTTATGATTATATTGGGCCATGTGGATAACTTAGGATATTCTATCTTAAAGTCAACTAACTGGCAACCCTAAGTCCATCTGCTCTTAATTCATCTCTGCACATGTAGTAATGTGTTCACAAGCTCTGGGGATTGAGACATGGCATCTTTGGAGACCATTATTCTGCCTACCAGTCTGTCCTCTGCCCTCCAAAGGTTCATGTCTATTCCACACGCAAAATACATTAGCTCTATCCCAACATCCTAAAAGTTTCAACACATTATTTTAACTCAAAGACCAAAAATCTTATCTAAATCTTATCAGTTTAAAAGTCCCAAGGATGATCATCACATTTGTCTAAATCAGGCGTGGATGGAGCCCGGGTATAATCCATCCTGAGGCCAAACTCCTCTCCAGTTCTGCATCTGTGACACTCAAGAAGTAGAGTAAGTTATCTTCTTCCAAAACACATTGGTGGGAAAGTCATAGGATAGCAGCTGTAGATAATCATTTTCAAAAGGGAGGAGAGATGGAAGGAAAAAAGGAGTCGCCCATCCCAAGCATCTCTCTCAGTTCACCTGGGAAAACTATTTGGTTTCAAAGCCTGAGAACAATCTTCTGTGATTCTTTGTTCTGTCTTCTTAGTTTTAAACTCCACCCTCTGAGTCATACTCCTTTTTTCATCCAAGGTGGCCTGTTGGGAGCTCATTAGTTTGATCGGCCTGTTTTTTGCCTGTAGAGTTTCGGGGATCTCAAAGCCTTCTTTATTTTGTCTTTTCTCTCTCCCTTTTGGTCAAAGCTGGCAGTGTTTCTGAGGAGAAAAGCAGAAGCAGTAGGAGATATATATATATTAAGACCTTTGTTACAAGGAATTGGCTTGTCTACTGTGGGGACTGACTAGACATGTCCAAAATCTATGAATAGGTCATTAAGTTCTAAAGCTGGGAAACTCTGTGTCACTCCAATACTGACTCTTCTGCCTTCCTCTTCCATAGTAAACACCCCCATGATTACCCTGGGCATGAGACTCAAATTCTGTGCTCAAGTGGCAACCTCAGCTCTGCTCTTCAGGCCTTGCAACTGACCAAATCAGGCCCGTCCACATTTTCTGGAGTGTTCTCCTTTACTTAAGTAGCTGGCTCTGGACTTTAATCATACCTGCAAAATGCCTTCGCTACAATAGAGAGATGGTGTTAGCAATGACTGGGGACTTGCCTAGATAACCTGACCCTTCAGAGAACTTTCACTGTGACTAATGTAGAGAGTTGTCCTACTTGGTTCTAAAACCCTTGTTCCAGTGGCACCTGGTCCCCTGCTCTTCCTGACGTTGATTAGAAAGGGGTGAAGGATTCTACTGCCCCCACAAATGTCTCTGTGCGGAGTTCAGTGAAAATAGCTATGGAGTTCAGTGAAAATAGCTATGGAGTTCAGTGAAAATAGCCATGTCTGACAAAGAGGAGGTGAAGTTGAGCATGGCTTCTACCTGTTAATTTTATTGAAGTTCTATACAATCATGAATGGAGTATTATTCTATGTGGCTCCAGGGAATATAAATGAGAATGGAGGTATGGAAGATATAGGGAGAGAGGCTTTGGCTCCGCTAATAATGAGCACTCCAACCTGTTTCTTACATGACACACCCAAAGCTTAAGGGGGTGTGCACGCCATGACTGGGAACATGTGGCACAGACATTTTACAAGAGGTCGGAGCTCTGAGGGGATGATTGACTCAGGTAATTTTTAGGTTTCTTTCATCCTTGTGAATTCATTTTGTTAAAGCTGGAGAAACTGCTGAAATCATTCAAAATTAGCCCTGAATTTCATGGCCAAAGTCACCTGAGAAAATAAAGCAATTAAATTTAAGAAAACCCAAAATAAAAATTTTCAAATTCATTAAAGAATATTCAATAGATGAGGATAAGGAGTATTTTAAAGTAAGTAATGCTTTAATCTAATTAAAATTTTTTATTTCTTTATCCCCTCTGCTTATTATTTTGAGAAATTAGAGATTATATAAATTTCTAATATATAATCTAAGACAATAGAAATTGGATATTTCCTTTGTATTATATAGCTAAGACAATAGAAATTGGGTATTTCTTTCTTATTTGTTTTCTTAAAAAAGTTATAATTATTATGAGGATATCCATCAATTAAATATTTCAGAATTAATTTAGTATTTTAATCTATTTTGCAAAAAAATTTTAGAAGCTACTATGAATCTTAATGGTCACAAATTTAAATTATATCAAGACTAATTTATAAATTTCTAAGAGATTATCCTTTCTCCCTAAATTCCTATGAACAATTTTTATAAATCAAATGTAGTATAATTGGCTTGGGTGATGAAATGTAAATACTGAGACAAAATGTCAGATAAAAGAATAGAGACATAGGTAAATTTTATTGTCATATATTTTTATAATAAATATTTGCAGTATTATATTTTAGAAACTGCATAAATTGGATATCATTATCTTTTCTTTTGCAATGAAATTAGAAGTAACAATTGTTTATTAGGCTTTATATCCATGTGATTTCAATAATGAGATTTCCTCAACCACCCTAGAAAAAATGATTCAAATGAAATGGCAAGTAACCTGTTTTCATTGCAAGTTATGTGCATCATTAATGAGCTTTGTTCAGCAGTCTTTCAGTCCTGAATGAAGTTAAGTCACTGAGGAAGGAATGACACATGCAGTGGTGTGAACAGAGTGAGAGGAGAGGCTAAGCTCAGAGGAATCAGGCCTCCTGTGTGCCCGGGGCAGCAGCGTCCCTGTGTCTTAGCGTTAACCTGCACCAGCAGTCATTTTCTTGCATTTGGTTTGGCAGCTGATGGACCACTTGAAGGCGGGAATTGAAGATGTGTGTGGGCAATGGAGCCACTACCAAGTGCGAGACAAGTAAGGAGACAGGGTCCCTCTCTAGAAAGGATGTTGATGGCGTGGAACTCCAAAGGTTACCCTGAAGCTGGGCGTACAGCTGGGAGGAGTCTAGAGGAGGGGGCCAGAAAGACGAAGGGGTGGGAGCCGGCCAGACAGGGGTAGACGGCTCTCAGAGGGCCGCCGGGAGTGTGGGCGGTAACAATGTCGGGAGCAATGTGTGGCATTAAATACGTAACAGTCTCTGTAAGGTGTCTCCAACGCACGGCAACACCCTTTTTGAAATTCAGTCTCAGGTTTAAGAGGGAAAGTGGGGCTAGAGGTAAAGGTTGTGAGTCCTCAGAGTGTTTGCACTCCTGCTCCAAACTGGCGGCTCTGAGCACCAGCGTGCAGAGCAGCCTGAGGAGCCTGCAGAGGCTCACGATGACCCCAGCCCAAGAGCGACCAGAGCAGGTTCTCCGCCATGGAGGTGTGCTGGGCTCCCGCTCCGGTGGCCTCAGCACAGGGGCAGGAGGACGGCACCGCAGGCATTGGAACTGACCAGGTTTGGGTGGAGGGCCAGGCTGGCTGTAGGACAGCGGCCTGCTGCGAGCTGTCAGAGTGAAACTCCTGCTCCGAAGCCCAGCCCCTCGTTTCTTCTTTACAATTGGGGCTGAGCGAGGCTGGCCCTGCTCCCCACTTATGCACACTTTTTGGCCTGATGGCTTGTCCCTTCCTTTTGTTTCATTGATTTTTCCTGTATTTCAAAAAATGCATTAGTTCTACTATTAGATACTTTTTTACAAGTGTGTTCAGCGGCTATGAATTCCAGGCACTGCCCTGGAGTTTCTCAGACTAAAGTTAGTAGTAATTTGTTTAAGAAAAATACAGGTACATAACATGCACAGAAAGTAAACATTTCCACAATGTTGGTTTTCATTTTTAGGTTTAAGAAGTTTGATCATAAATATTTACGGAAAATCCTGATCAGAGAGAACCTGCCGAGATCCAGCATCGTTTCCTTGTACAAGAAGCTGGAGATGAAGCAAGCGCTTGAGATGGCGGAGACCGGGGCGCTGAGCGCCTCAGCCTTCTCCAGGCCCCATCAGTAAGTGCTGGCTGCACTCTGATCTACATTCGTTTCCCGTATGTAAAATGGAAATTTCAATTATAGTTTACTTTAAATATCATGGGTATTAGTTTCAGGTTTACAGCATAGTGGTTAGACAATCATATACTTTATAAAGTGGCCCCTGATATTTCAAGTACCCACCTGACACCATGCATAGATATCATATATATATACTAGAGGCCTGGTGCACAAAATTCATGCGCTGGGCAAAGGGTTCCCTCAGCCTGGCCTGCACTCTCTTACAGTCCAGGAGTCCTGGGGGCGGTCTGACTGACAGCTTGGGGGGCCTAAATCATCAGTCAGACATCATTAGCATTGCCAAGGAGGCGGGAGAGGCTCCCACCACCACCGCTGTGCTCGCCAGCCATGAGCCCAGCTTCTGGTTGAGTGGTGCTCCCCCTGTGGGAGAGCAATGACCACCAGGGAGCAGCTACTGCGTTGAGTGTCTGCCCCTTGGTGGTCAGCACACATTATAGTGACCGGTCATTCCACCATTGAGTCATTTGCATATTAGCCTTTTATTATGTAGGATACACTGTAGATGAGACCTCTAGAACCATAAGAAATGCAAAAAATTCACTGTTAGCCCATTATCGAATTCCCCCACTTAAAATCAAACTGCCCTCATCCCCTCCCGCCATGGGGCGTGTGCTGCACCTTGGAAACCACCGGGCTTTTTCTCTCTGAGCTTCATTTCTGAATCCATACATACACGTATACCATGGGAATTGCAATCTCTTCTCCACCTCCCACTCTGGATTGTCATGAGGAGGTTCTGAGCTGATAAACCTAGAAATGTTTCATCCAGTAAGTGATGTCTAAATGGAAGGGACTGTTATTTTTAAGCCCCCAGGAACCCTCGCAGGTGGCAGGAGCTGATTAGGGGAGGAGGGCATGATTGTTTCCTGGGACTGTAGTTGTGGAAGCTTTGCAGAGGGTTCCGCAGGCCTCAGAGGGGTGGGCTCTGGCCAGCAGCCCTGTAGCGGTGGGTTGTCCCTGGAGGTGCTGGCCTGGGGGGAGTGGCACTAGTAGGCCGGCGAGGCCCAAGGGGAGTAACTGTCAAACCTTCCCACTTGGTGCCATTTTTTAAATTGTATGTGGCTGTTTCGTAGCTGTGCCTGCTCAGGGCTGGGTTCCAATCTCCTGGAGCTGGGTGGGGGCCAGGCCAGGGGTGAGCCAGGTGGGCTAGGAGGGTGAGTTTAGCTGTGCCCCAGCGAAGTGTGCTTCCACTGCAGAGATGCCGCTGCTGCTCTGGGGTGGTGGGGAGGGGCTGACCCTGGGGGGCCACTCAGTCCTGCCTCCACAGGGTCTGGATATGTAGGGAGGAGAGATGTGCCCGGCCCCACTGGAGTGGCCCAGCAGTGACAGACCTCAGGCCTCAGGTGCCTTGGGGGCGCGGACGGATCTCCACTGGTGTGCTATTGCTGTGGGCACCCTGGCAGAGTGGTGGGGAAGAGATTGGGAGTCAGAGGTGTGAGCTGTAGCTACCCCCGAGGCTGGGTCTTCTCCCTGCCCGGTTAGCCTCTCCTTTCTCCCAGGGGTGCGGGGCTGGGGTAGGGTGTCCGTGCATCCCCCTGGGGTGAGGGCTGGGGTAGGGTGTCCGTGCATCCCCCTGGGGGTGAGGGCTGGGGTAGGGTGTCCGTGCATCCCCCTGGGGGTGAGGGCTGGGGTAGGGTGTCCGTGCATCCCCCTGGGGGTGAGGGCTGGGGTAGGGTGTCCGTGCATCCCCCTGGGGGTGAGGGCTGGGGTAGGGTGTCCGTGCATCCCCCTGGGGGTGAGGGCTGGGGTAGGGTGTCTATGCAGAAGGATTGGAAGAGCTCCCTGTGGCCGCTTCCTCTTCCTTCTTTGCAGTCCGGGCTCCTGGCAGGCGCTCTCCTCAGACCCGGGAGCTGGGCTCTGGCCACCTTCCCCTTGCTGCACAAGCAGCCTCCTGCTGGTCTGTCAGTATGCAAATTGGTCGTTACTGTGACACCATTAGAACCAATTAGCATATTACCTCTTTGTATAGAGAGATTGCTGGCTATATTCCCTGTGCTGTACTTTACACCCCTGTGACTGTTCTGTTTCTACCAATTTGTACTTTTTAATCCTTCACCTTTTCACCAGCCCCCAGCCCCTCCCCTCTGCAAACACTGATGTAGATGTTCAAGGCCAGGCCTTCCAGGGCACTGACTTGTTGCTTTACTGAAGGGTGATGTTGGGTGGGAAAAGGGAGGAATTGTGACAAATAGACCATCTCTCTGTTTTGTAGCTTGGCCATGACCAACCTGTTTCACCTAATTCCTGAAACTACGTTCCAGCAAAGGTTGCCTTCTTACCCATGAATATTTAGAATTCTAGTATATTTTATAAGACTTTCTCTTTCTCTTTCTAATTAGAAGTCTCTACCTTCTGACCCCTATTCACCTGGTTCTAATCCTGCCATTGCGTTCCTCCCACGAGTCATTTTCCTTCCTCTCTTGTATGAAGTCAGCATTCTGAGGGACTAACTTGGATTTGGGATGAGTGGGGCTAGCAAGAGGCATGATGGCTGGGGGACTATTATAAAAGAAAGCTGTTTGTCATTGTGTCTAAGGGAAAAAAATCTGTGTGAGATTGGGAGATTTGCCTTGAGTCCATGTGAGACCAGCTTGGAATAGGATTGGGGGGACATGCTTCCGGTGGGGCTGGTGGAGACGCAGTGTGTGGAGGGGCAGCGTTATAAGACGTTTCCCTTGGAGGCGTGGTGCTTCTATTGGAGCATCAGGAAACCAATTATCCTAAGAGCTGGCTCAGTATATTTTTAATATATTTTCATTGATTTCAGAGAGGAAGGGAGAGGTGGGGAGAGAGAAACATCAGTGAATAGAGAAAATCATTGACCAGCTGCCTCCTGCACACCCATTTTGGGGATTGAGCCTGCAACCCAGGCATGTGCCCTGACCCAGAATTGAGCCACAACCTCTAGTTCATAGGTTGACACTCAACCACTGAGCCACACCAACTGGATTCAGTATTTTTAAAGTTGTTTTAACTTCCTAACATTTAACAAGAGCCTCTTCCATACCACAAGAATGATTCTCCACCCTCCGAAGCCCAGGTTTCTGCTAAGAAATGCTTTCTGGTTTGAGCAAATTAATCAGAACGTCTGCTTAACGTGAGGAGCACCAGCCCTCCACCTGACCCACTCAGCTGGTAAGGACACTGGGTCAGGAGCTTTACTAATGTCCTCACGTGAAGAGAAGAGCTAAGAATAGATGTTAATGAGATTGTCACCACGTCTGAGTGTTACTTCTCACCCAGGTGGGTGGGCAGCACCTCGCCACTTCCATGGCCTTGTGTGACTCCGGGTCTGCAGGAAGCGCCTGCCCCTTTGTCGGCGGGACTGTTTGGAGGCTGATTAGTTTGTGTCAGTGCTGCCCATTGCACGGCTTCCAGGACACTCGGGAGCTGACGGAGGAAGCGCTGGCAGGTGTGTGCTGTGGGCCGTGCTGAGCCGTGTGAGAGCCGGAAGCAGAGAGAACATTCAGTTTAGCGGTCCTGTCCTTATTTAAAAGTTGATACTTCATTCATCATGGATTCTTTGCATTGACCTTTATTTCCTAATGAACTGCATTCAAACCCCATCAGCTTGATTGCTGTGCTGAGGTGTGGAGGCCAGTGTAGGGAGGGGCACCCTCTCACTTTGGGCCCAGCCCTGCTCCTCAGGCACCTGCTATGTGAAAGCAGATGCAGTCCTGCCCTCATGAAGTTGGGTCATGACACTCATACAGAAAGTTATATTAATAAAGTCAAAGGTCACACTGATAATCCTAAGCCTGGGGAGCTATGCGAGTATAGAGGAACAACTCACCTGGGTCCCGGCTCTGAACTGCTCACTGGCCGATGGCATGGCACTAACTCGCTAACTCGCTGCACAGCAGGAGGCTTGACAGGCTCTGGCAGGTTAGGCCCGGGGACTTCCTCCTGTGGTCTGCTTACTGGTTAGGTGAGCACTTGGTCTAGGAATGCTTATCTCAATGACAATCAGCTACCCTGAGCTAAAGCTTAACCTGAATCTCTGTATAAACAGTTGCCCCCACTTCTGGCCTGAAGAAATTCTAAACCAGTTTTATTGAGGGGGAGAGGGGTCAGGGGAGCTTCTGTTAAGGTTGTTATTTTTTCCAGACAGGTTTAAAACCTTGACTCAAGATTGATGAGAAAGCCTTCTAAGTGAGAGACAAATGTTTCCATCTATTGCCCAAATGGTGGAGAGGCTCTTTAAACTCATATGTAATTCAAGTTTAGTAGTTAAATTGCATTTATTTGATCTCATCAGAAATATGTCAGACACCCTTGCATAAAGGAATTTTGCTCCTAAGATCAAAGCAGCTAATTTCTTAATAAACAAACCTTCATACAATAATAGGAAAAAGACGTGTGCATTCAGCTCACTTTTTATTATTCTGTGTAAAATGAAAACAGCACAGTGCACATGTGTTCTTTAGAAGTTAAATGATCCTTCCCCAAGAGGCTTAGATCTGCAAACTGTGGCTCCAGGGGCCCTTCCCCGAAGCTGTCCCCAGCACACTGCACTCTGTGGACTCCAGGGCTTTCTCTGGTTTACCTGAACCTCAAACAGCCCTCTGGAACAGGGAGAGTGTGTCCTTGGATCATTATTTTAATGTGAGGCATCCCATTTACCAGCGAGTAGTAAGCTCTTAGAAATACCAGAGAATAGAGGTTCAAGTTGATTAAAACTGTGGAAGCTTTAACAATATTTGGTTAATATTTTAGAGCTATTGAAATATTTATAAATTTATAGGCATAGCAAACTACAACTCTACAACTAAAAAATGTTATATTTTAAAATTCCCAAATAATTTTAATGTCATTTATAAGAGGTATAAAATTATTGTAGTTTAAATGTTTTTTATTTGATCACATGTTGACAGGAATACGTTTAGCTTTATGCATTCTTATGCCAAAGACTCTGGAATGAAACCCCATGCAATTTTCATTCTGTAATGGAGCCTTGTTGGGGGAGTCAGGCCTGCCCCGCACTCTCCACTCCTCTGAATGCTGCAACGGCAGAGACAGGCTTCGCCGCCAGCTCCCAGGAGGCTGTTGGGCACAAAGTTTGCTCAGTGAGCACGGCCTTCAGTATCTTGACATATTCCCCGGGGATTTCATGTATAAAACTATTAAGAGGATGGATTCTTCTACCATGAACCAGGGAATAATATTGTATTTGGGAGAATTAATATTATAGCATGAATATAACATCTAACAGATTTTATGTCTATATTACTCGGAATTGAAGCATCTTTTTACATTATTCTGGCATTTTAAAAAGTTAGAAATGTCAACATTTTATTTGAATACGATTTAGTTTCATACTTTCCCATTCAATTTTTGTTTGTTTGTTTGTTAATCCTCACCCAAGGATATGTCTTATTTTTAGAGAGAGTAAAAGGGAAGAGAGAGAGAAACATTGATCTGAGAGAGAGAGAGAGACATGGATTGCTTGCCTCCCACACATGCCCTGAACAGGGCCCGGACTAAGTCTGCAACCAAGGTACATGCCCTTGACAAGAATCAAATCTGAGACCCTTCAGTCCACAGGCCAATGGTCTATCCACCTAGCAAAACCAGCCAGGGCTCATTTTATTTTAATAGCCATGAAATTTCCATAGAACTTTTATTTAAGGTAACAGAGCTTTCTTTTATGGATAATGAATGAAGGTTGAAATGACAAAGATCTTTCAGTTCACAATTTTTCTTCTTTTGACCAAGAGATTATTAACATTCATTTCTCTAATGACTGTATCTCTCCTGTGCTCGTGAGGTCAGTGTTTCAGGGTGATTCTGCTAACCGAGTGGCATATGGGAAGCTCCCAGTGTCGCTGCCCCATTAGCAGCTCATCTGCACAGCTTGGGCTGCAGCTTCCTGTGGGTGAGTGAGAGGAGTGGGAGCGGATGACCTGGGGCCTGTGCGGCCTCCAGCAGCAGCCTGAACGCACCTGTAATTACACTTGGCCCTTCCCAGCGTGGTCACTTATACACCAAGGAATGTGCGAGGTCAGGTCCACTGCTATCTGAAAGTTTAACTTCAACTTTCTTTACCAATGGTGTTTCCTATTTGGCTGTTTTATGACACATACAGAAAATTGAATTGTTTATTAGCTGTTCTTTCTGCTTAGCAATAGATTACTTCCACCGTAATACAGGCATGTGTTCAGATTGTTGGAATGTGTGGGTGTATCTAAATTAGAATAAATTTTACTTGAAGGACATTTAAACAGTTAAGTTGAAACATCTTTTTGATAATGTTCAGTTCACCAAGGGTAGTAACTGCATACAATAGTGTTGACAATTGTAGAACTAAACTATGAAGACTCTGGTTCAGCAATTCTGTAGAAAGAGCATTAGTTAGTGTGCAGACAGCATTGCTAAGCCCACCCTAGCATTCTGTGATGGCCAGTAGTCACATCTTTAATTCTCTTACCAATTGAAAATTACTTGCAGGACATCCTTGCTGTTTATGACTATACTAGAGGCCCAGTGCACAGATTCGTGTACCGGTGGGGTCCCTTGGCCTGGCCTGAGCCCTTTAACAATCTCGGACCCCATGGGGGATGTTAGACTGCCAGTTTAGGCCCAATCCCTGAGGCCAGGCCGAGGAACCCCACCAGTGCAGGAATCCATGGACTGGGCCTCTAGCATGCATATAAGATCTTTGGTTAATCTTTTTCCACCCTCTCTCCTCTCCCCTTCCCTCTGAGATTCATCAGTCTGTTCCATGTTTCCATGACTGTGCCTTGAGTGTCTGCCCCTTGGTGGTCAGTATGCATTATAGCTACCTGTTGAACAGTTGCTTAGGCTTTTATATAGATACATAGCTACCAATGTTTGGGAAAATTGTTTAAAAGTGGTCTGTTTGGGAACTAGTAACTACTCATCTCTGTGATCAATTACCCTAAGACTTGCTTTGCAAGCAGCTGTTAGCACATTCAGAAGAGCTGCAGCCAGAGAGAGAAAAAAGAAGGAAAAACTCTGTAAGGGTTTATTATACCAAGTGTTAAGATAATAGTATTAAAACAGGAGGAAATCATATTAAAAGATGGTTTAATTTCCTTAGTGCTCTCTTTTTAGTTCTTTAGTTCTGCAGTGAACATACATTACTCGTGCAATAGTAATAGAAATTACCTCCCCTAGATTCAAATGACTGAAATCTGATATATTTCTCAATGTGATGCCATGACTTGGAAATCCTCAAAGGACAATTGTGCATTGAGGTTGACCTGAGCATGACTTGGATTTTGAACCCTCTCTGGGAACTCAGGATGAAGGAAACTGTGGGAGCTGGACTGTGCGGAGGCAGTGAGCAGTCAACTGTTTCTAGAATCTCACTGAATCCCAGTGTCTCAGAACTAGGCTGGCTTTTGCATAATGAAAGCGTCCCAATTCTCCTTGTAAAATATGATACCAGTTTCTTACAATGTCCTTTAACTGAAGATAAAATTCCTGAAGGAGCAGTCCCTCGGCAGAGGTACTCATAAAGGCACATGTAACAAGGTCATGCTCTCAGCTCAGAGCTGTGGGAAAGAGGCGTGTGGAGAGTGCTGCCCACGTGTGGCTCACACCCAGGACAAGCACAGGGCAGGTCAAGAACAGCCTTGGCTGGGGAGTCTTATTGCTGTTGAATCGAATAGTAAAAGGTTTGCTTTGCATTTTATAGTATTTTTACATTGCTCATTTTTCAATAATTGACTTTGTATTTTACAAACATGTTTTATCATAGCAGTATGAGGGAATAAAATGAGTTGTGTTTCCAACATAAAAACTAAAAGGCATAGAAACTATATCTTCAAAGTGTGAGTCCAGACCTGCGATGCCCTCTCACGCCTTGGGAAGCAGCGGGGGGCTGACAAGAAGCTTCTGAGCTCCCAGGAGCCCGTGATACTTTCAGGCTCCCTTGCCAAGGTGGGGAAGTCATACCTGCCTTTCTCCTCTGGTTCCCAGGGCCCAGCCATCACAGGGAACCAAGAGGCTTTCCCCTCAGGACGTGGCATCCATGAGGGACCTTCTGACGCGCAACATGTACCAAGTTCGGCAGAGGGTGAGTAGGACTGTCCTCCAGCCGCCCCTCCCCCCCCCCTGCCCTGGGCCACCGCTCTAAGCAGCCTCTGCTGGACCACTGCCCGCTGCTTGGTGTGGAGAACAGAGCGCTAATTGTCCTGTTTCTGCTGCAGAGCTGGGTCTGTGGCAGGAGAAGAAATGAGAATCCAGTGGCTGGCCACAGGGGTCAGGCCCTCCCTCCCGAGGGCAAGTGTGGGGCCCTTGGCCACCACAGACAGGACAGCCCGAGGTGGCCGCCTCCAGCTGAGCGCCTGTAAGGAGCTCCAGAGGCTGAGAGGGTTTGGCCGGAACGCTGGAAGACCCTACCTTGAAGAGGAGCTGGATCGGGCGTGTGACTTCTCAGTTTGGGAAAGTGTGTGGAAGCCCCGCTCTTGGGATCGTCCCAGTGCACAGAAAGGCCGGTTCTGAGCTCTCGGAGACTCGGACTTGGTCCCAGGACAGCAAACCTGATCCTCTCACAGGGGTGTAAGTCTGAGGTTCCGATGGAACTTCCCAAGTCTGAGGGTGATTATAAGCGAGTTGTTTACAAGGGCCTTGGTTTTCATCCTGCCGTCGCTCAATCCTGAAGAACCTGCCGGTTTAAAGAACGTGGGCTGCCTGTGCTCAGCCCTCCCCAGGCTGATGAAGGTGGAACTTAGGGAAGGCTCCAGAAACAGAGACAGAGGTCCTGGGTCTCCAGCCCAGTCTGAACGGAGGCTCGCTGCCCACCTCCCTTTGTTCCGTGTCATTACCGGGAGCCTCTGCCTTCCTTCATCAGCGAGCCTGCCCAGTGTCCGGCACTTCCCTCTAAGCTGTGCCTTTCTTGTGGTCCCCAAATAAGCAGCTGGCGTGGGAAGTCACATGGGAGACCACAGGTAATAAACAGAGGGCCTTCCAAGCCTCCGAGAGGGCTTTTGCCTCCCCTTTTGCTACAATACTTTGAGAGAGTGGAACTTCCCGTCCTTCCTAGGTCATGTGACTCCTCACCTCCCCCAGGGTCCTCTTGCTCTCTTGGAGGAAATAGAGCTCTACAGATGCCACCAGAACAGCCATTTGACTGCTTTGTTTCTAGTGGGCAATCTGCAGTTTTGAGGATTGTCACAGAAGGTGACATTTGTAGCCCTCTCGCCTGGGAGACAGGCCAGCAGGCCCTCACAGGTGCTGGGATAGTGATGACAACCCCTTTGGGAAGAGGCCATCTTGGGAGTCGGGAGTCCCATCTGGGCGGGGCCGGATGAGCGCAGGCTGAACCTGGAGGATCCTAGTTCGTGGGTCTGAAGCAGCAGGCCCTGTGGGGTCTGTCCCCCTGGGAGCACTCTGACTACTCCCTTTGAACCAATTCGCTCAGCACATCTAGTTAGGGAGCTGCTGGGGAGCTGAAGACCTCACCCCTGGAGATCCTCAGGGGGACAGCCACAGCAGAAGTGCTTCAAATGCAGTGGGGATGAACACTGAGCAGCACTCCACATTACACGGGGAAAGATCAGCCTTTACCCAGACCCCAGCATAAGTCAGACACGGATGGGCAGTCCCTAGGCTGGCCTAAATGATGAGGTTATGCTCAGAATTTCAATATGCTTTATTTTTCTTTTCTATGAAATTTATTGGAGTGACATTGGTTAATATTATCCTACCAGAGTCCTGGTGAATGAAATTCATGCACGGGGTGTGGGGGGGGGGGGGGTGTTCCTCAGCCCAGCCTGCACCCTCTAGATTGGAGAGGGACTCTTCAAAGGATGTCCAACTGCCTGTTTAGGACATCCCTCTCACAATCCAGGACTGCTGGCTCCCAACCACTCACTTGTCTGCCTGCCTAATTGTCCCTAACCATTCTGCTTTCCAGCCTGATCACCTGTTAACCACTCCCCTGCTGGCCCAATCACCCCCAACTGGCCTCCCCTGCTGGCCCAGTCACCCCTAACTACCATCCCTTACCAGCATGGACACTCCTAATTGCCTTCCCATGCCATCCTGGTTGTCCCTACTTGTCCTCCCCTGCAGGCCTGGTTCCCCTCAACTGTCCTGCCCTGTAGACTTGGTCCCCCCTAACTTCCATCCCCTGCAGGCCTGAACCCTCCCCCAACTGCCTTGATAGCCCCAACTGCTCTTCCTTGCAGGTGTGGTCCCTCCCAATTGCCCTCCCCTGCTGGCCATCTTATGTCCACATGGGGCTGCCATCTTTGACCATCTTGTGTGTTGGAGTGATGGTCAATTTTCATATTGCCTCTTTATCATATAGAACTAGAGTCCTGGTGCATAAAATTCGTGTACTGAAGGTGGGGGGTCTCTCAGCCCAACTTGCCTCCTCTCACATACTGGGAGCCCTCAGGGGATGTCCTACTGACAACTTAGGCCCACTCCCCATGGGACACACTCCTTTGTAGGAGGCAACCTGGCTGATCAGAGGAAGGCACCAAGCCCATCACCCCACAGCTACTGCCAGTCACCATAGCCACCAAGGTGTTTTCATCAACACACCAGTACTCGAGGCCAACACTCCAGTCCCTTCACTAAGAAAAAATGACAACTTTCTTTAGGCGTTTTCAAGATGTGTCTTTCTTTCTTTCTTTCTTTCTTTCTTTCTTTCTTTCTTTCTTTCTTTCTTTCTTTCTTACTTTCTCTCTCTCTTTCTTTCTTTCTTTCTTTCTTTCTTTCTTTCTTTCTTTATTTCTCTTTCTTTCTTTCTTTCTTTTCTCACCTGAGGATATTTTTCCATTGACTTTTAGAGAATGTGGAATAGAAAGGGAAAGACAGAGAGCAACATCAAAGTGAGAGGAACGCTTTGATTGGTTGCCTCCTGCATGAGCCCTGATCTGGGGCTCCGCCAGGGAGAAGCCTGCAACCTAGGTACATGCCCTTGATCAGAATCGAACCCAGACTCTGCAGTCAGCAGGCCAAGGCATTATCCACTGAGTCAAACTGGCTAAGGCAGGATATGGCATTCCTTAGCCCTCCAGGAGTGAGGTGGAAAAATCCTAGATCACCTTTCTGGATTCTTATTACCCAAGTTACTAAGAATACTACCAGTGGCATACAGAAAGCTTAGCCAGTGAGCAGTCAGAAAAGGTGTTTCCTCTGTAGTTCACACCAATCACTGGCTGGGCCCTGCCCAGACCTAAAGCTTCTGCCAGAGGCTTTAGGCCTGGGCAGGGGCCCTCCAGCTCCCTCTGATCACCGGCTCCACCCCTGCCCAGGCCTGCCCAGGCCAAAAGCCTCTTGAGCAGGAGGGGAGCCCCAGCTCCCTGCAATCAATCACAGGGGGTCCGCTCCTGCCCATGTGATCAATCCCAAGGGGTCTGCTCCTGCTACAGGCCAAAGCCTCTGCCTTAGCCTGGAACAGAAGTTGAGCCCCAGCTCTCTGTGATTGATCACAGGGGGTCTGCTCCTGCCCAGGCCTTACCTCACAGTGACCTGGGTGCCAGGATGTTCCTGGGACACAGGCCTTGGGCCATCTTGTTTGGGTTAATTTGCATAATCACTCTGATTGGCTATGGGCATAGCGAAGGTATGGTCAATTTACATGTTTGTCTATTACTAGGTAAGATATGTTGCAGGCGTGGGATTCTATGTTATAAGATATGTATGTGCTCATAATTAAAGTCAAATCTCCCATCACCATATTTATTTACTTACTTTTATTGTTTAAAGTATTACATAGGTCTCCTTTTTCCCCATTGACCCACAAACCTGAGGGCAAGTCCCCATGGCCCCAGTGTCTATGTACATTGGTTATGATAACATGCATGCATACAAGTCCTTTGGTTAATCCCTAACACTACCCTTCTCGGACCCTTGTCTCTGGAACTATTATTGTTCATCAGTTTATGTTGATCATTATATCCTACATATGAGTGAGATCATGTGATATTTACCTTTCTCCAACTGGCTTGTTTTGCTTAGCATAATGCTCTCTAGTTCCATCCATGTTGTTGCAAATGGTAAGAATTCCTTTTTTTTTTTTTTTTTTTTACAGTGGTGTAGTATTCCATTGCATAGATGTACCACAGATTTTAATCCACTCATCTCCTGATGGGCCCTTAGGCTATTTTCAAATCTTAGCTATTATAAATTGTGCTGCTATGAACATAGAGGTGCATATGTCTTTTATGATTGGTGTTTCTGGGTTTTTTGGATATATTCCTAAAAGTGGGATCACTGAGTCAAATGGGAGTTCCATTTTTAACTTTTTAAGGAAACTCCATACTGTTTTCCACAGTGGCTGCACCAGCAGTAAACAAGGGTTCCTTTTTCTCCACATCCTCACCATCACTTGTCATTTGTTGATTTGTCGATGATAGCCATTCTGACAGGTGTGAGATGGTACTGCATTGTCATTTTGATTTGCATCTCTCAGATAATTAGTGACTTTAGTATGTTTTCATTTGTCTTTTGGCTTTCTTTCTGTCTTCTTTCGAAAAGTATCTATTTAGGACAGTTGCCATTGTTTTTATTGGATCATTTATCTTCCTTTTATTAAGTTGTATAAGTTGCCTATAGATGTTGGAGATTAAACCTTACCAGTGATAACATTTGAAAATATGCTCTCCCATACAGTGGGTTTTCTTATTGTTTTGTTGATAGTTTCTTTTGCTGTGAAAAAGCTTTTTATTTTGATGTAGTCCCATTTTTTCCCCCTTAGTTTCCATTGCCCTAGAAGAGGTATCAGTGAAGAAATTGCTTTGGCATATGTCTAAGATTTTGCTGCCTGTGGATTCCTCTAGTATTTTTATGGTTTCCCGTCTGTTTAAGTCCTTCATCCATTTTGAGTTTATTTTTGCGTATGGTGTAAGTTGGTAGTCTAATTTCATTTTTTTTTGCATGTAACTGTCCAATTTTCCCAACACCATTCATTGAAGAGACTGTCTTGACTCCATTTTATGTTCATGCCTCCTTTGTCAAATATTAATTGAGCATAGTAGTTTTGGTCAATACCTGTGTTCTCTATTCTATTTCATTGTCTATATGTCTGTTCTTGTGCCAGTACCAGGCTGTTTTGGGAAC